ACGTCAATACTTAACTGCCAGCAGCTTTAAGAAAAAAGCACCTTCCTTTGTGTTCAAAATTACGAGTAAAACACTAAACACTAAATCAGACGACCATTTCAGAAAACAGAAGGCAAGGATTTCTAGAATATGTAATTTAGTGTAAACACGGAATCAGATGATTGTTTCAGAAAACAGAAGGTAAGGATTTCATTACAACTACCAACAGTAATGAAATGTTGAAGAAATCCAATTTATCATTACCTTAATATTATTCTGGATAAATTAAGTTAAGCATTAATGACAATCGGTTCAAATGCAAGTATACATATGAACAAAAAGGCAGAATTTTTGTCTCATATATGCAGTATACGTGGCCATGCAACCCCAATTTACTATGTTGATATCCTAGTTAACACTTCATTGTACACTTGTCTTCTTTCCTTTTCATACCTCAATACACCTTAAGTTTGTAGTACTGTTATATAATGTAATATTCCAGATAAATCTAGATGATACTATTTATTAATATTTTGCCCTAAATTTCAATCCAAAACATGCAGCTAAATCAAGGACCACACTTTATAAATCCATCATTCCAATGGCAATTTAAAAAATACCTACCCCAGGCAGGGCACGGTGGCTCACGCCTGTAATCCTAGCATTTTGGGATGCTGAGGTGGCCAAGGTGGACGGATCGTGAGGTCAAGAAATCAAGACCATCCTGGCCAACATGGTGAAACCTCGTCTCTACTAAAAAATACAAAATTTAGCTGGGCATGGTGGCGCGCACCTGTAGTTCCAGCTACTTGGGAGGCTGAAGCAGGAGAATCGCTTGAACCTGGGAGGCGGAGGCTGCAGTGAGCCAAAATCCCAACACCGCACTCCAGCCTGGTGATAGAGCAAGACTCCATCCAAAAAAAAAAAAACCTACCCCAAGAAAAAGTATCCCATCTCTTCTACAAAGAAGCCACTCAAAATCAGCTCAGATGTGAAATAATTTTAATCAACAATATTACTGACAAAACTAGCAATCAAACCAACACTGCACATTCCCTTCTCAGCCACTACACGTCTGTTCAAATTATCACTCAACCCTGCCCATCTTCCCTTACAAAGAAGTCCATAGACATGTAAAAGAAAACCATAGTATCTAAACTATAATGTTCAAACAATAGAAGAAACTCTGTGTACATAAAAAAATAAGAAAATATAAAAACAGAAAATATTTAGAAGATAGATTAAAATTGAATATATGTAAGAATTAACAATTTTTTTTAATTCCTTAAAGGTCAAGCCTCACTAGTAACGAAAAAAAGCTACCTAAGTCAACCAAGAGCTATTGACATCTATTAAATATTAAAGAAACCGAATGATTTAAAACTATTAAAAAACTCACTCTAAATACCTAGATTATGACATTATAAATTAGTACAGTCTTCTGGAGAGCAAACAATATATGACAAGAGCTATAAAACTCATGATACCCTTTGACCTGGTAACTCCACTTTAGGGAATAAAGTCCAGGAAAATAACTGGGGGCAGAAGGGATAGGGGAGAAAGTGAAAAGCAGAAAAAGACCACCTAACTATGCAAAGTTATTAGTAAAAGTCTGGAAGTAGCTCAAATGCTCAGCTGGAAGCTTGGTTCAAATTATATAGTACCTTAAATACAACTGAATTTTTTCTTACCATTAAAATAATGATGAGTATTCAAATACACAAGTACATTTTTCAATGTTAAGAAAAATATGAAGCATAAAATAGACACTGATCACAATTATGTAAAAATATGTCTTTACAATATGAGGAAAAGTCTAGTAAACTGGGTGGTTGGGGTTTTTTTGGTCAGGAGACTCTATTTTTTAATTACTTTGATTTTCATTTCATTTTTATTACCGTCAAGTTAGTTTCAAAAAAGCTTTTTCCTTTTAATCTCCTTTGTCACTTGCTTAAAAAAACACATATAGGCTGTGAGAGGGACAAATGTAAAGGAAAACATTTTCAATACACCTCAGTATTGAAACTATATACAAAAACCTGTATCAGTCATTAAGTGTTAAAACATATTAGTAGGCATTGTTGTTTTTGCCTCTTTTAGGGGGAGGGAAAGACTTAAGTCCAACAGAAAGACTGACTACAAATTAACCTGGCAGTACATGAAGTTTTTCAAAACTAATTTTTCTCCATATGAGAAATTATTACTGATAATAGTACAGATGGTCGAGTTTACCCTTATCACAATTATACCATTTTCTGTGACTTGCAAAATATAAGAAAACTATACAATCGGTAGACTTGATAAAAATGTGGCCTCACTGTTATAATATAAAAATAACAAAATGAACACTAAAGCAATTTAAATATAGTCTTATTGCAAGCAAATTTTAAATCATTTATATTTAGAGTCTACCATACACCTCCAACTTTCTTTAACTTTGTCCGATTTTCCTCCACTTGGATCTTATTTGAAGGAAAGATAGCTGAATTTAGATTTTAGTAACATCATTCCTTTCTCCTTTCACTACCCTCCAATGCACTGTGGCAGCAGCTAACACAAGGGAACCTCCCCCGCAAAATAAAAAGGATCACCTGTTTTTGTGTGTCAATGCTGAATACAAAGTATATTTATACTATGAATTATATTTGCAGAAGAAACAACGCAGACAATCCAATGCCTTTGGTCCTTCACTAAAGTATATTCCATTTTCAAATATGTCCATTGTTGTCTCCCTGTAAACCCAAAATCGTGTTTCACCAATTCTCAAAAAGTGATAACTCAGTTTTTATTTAGTGAAAACGGGTCTATGAAAATGCGACTTAACTGGTGATTGAATGAGCTTATAAAATCAGAGATACATAACGATTATGCTTTTACTCAGTAGACCATCACCTAACCGGCAAAATTTGAAATTGGCTTGACGTTCCTTATTATTTTTAATTATGTCGTTTTTCCTAATCCCTGGTCCGTCAATTCCCCTCCAGAGCCCCTTCCTCCCACGCCTCCCCCTTAACCCCCCCGCAAAAAAAGACCAAGCCTGGCCTTAGTTCCCGTATTTCAGGCCAGGACCAACCAGAAACCAGTTTTCTTCCACTAATCCGGAACTCCGGGCTGTTACCAACGCTGTCATTGGCCAGCGTCAGACCTTAGTACGTGCCCCAAGATAACCCCTTGGTTTCTCTCCCTTTTCCGCCTACAATGGGCCTTCCCCAATGTTTGTAACATATTCATAATCCACAACACGGCACCTCTGATAATCAACTCACATTCTTCAAAGTTTTCGGGTGGAAACAAGCAGGGCCGAGGGGAGGGCAAGGTACCCTTTTTCCGACTAGCAGGGATGGGGGAAGGGGCAGTCGTTCTTTGGCTCTGCACTGAGCTCTAGAACCTCGTCGGCTGAGAGGTGGGGAGCGGGTTGGGGGTACAAGGTGGGGAGGGAGTGGTGAAAGAGTTAGGTTAAGTTGAAATGAAAACTTTACTCACCAGATCCTCGAAGCTTCTTCGGTGCTCTTTCCCCTCCCAATCTAAGCGGCGCGGAATCAGCTGGGGGCCGGACGAAAAGAAAGGGGGAAGGGGGGGGCAAATGATGAAGGAAAAGCCTCCGCTCCCCATCAACTGGACCCAACCTGTGTCCCAGCCTCAACACTTTAGCGTCTTTATTTCTCTCGGCCTGATAGCTATTGGCTCAGAGCTAGACGAGTATATGGGGGGGAAGGGGGGCCGCGGAGAAGGAAATCCTGAAAAACCGCCTCCCACAAGCATAAAGCGGAGACGAGTTAAGACCCCAGCGTTGTCTGCCCCTTTTGAGGGAAGAAGCCAATTCACCCCGGTGACAACAGCAACGGGTACCCAGATCGAAGCCTCTATCCCGGCCAGTCTTCCGCCCCTGACTTGCCCTCCCCTTCTCCTCCAGTCTCACCTCAACCCTCCCCACCCTTCCCGAAGGGGCTCCGTACCTGATGCTCCTCGAGCTCCTGCACTAGCACCTGAGCAAAAGGGAAACACAGATATGAGGAGCAGCTCGGGCCAACAACCCATTCCTCCCTCCACACTTAAAGCCCAGCCGCTGACTGTTTGACTAGTCAAGGCCGGCCTATCCCTCACCCTCAGCGGAACTGCTCGTCCCGCTGCCTCGATTTCCCCACTGGGATCATTCACCACGACTCCCAGATCTCTTTCTTCCCCTTACCTGAGCGGATTTGTTGCAGGGTCCAGACTGCAAGAACCTAGCGATCAGGTAATACAGCTCTGGGGAAGAAGGGGGAAAAGAGGTTGAGAGGGATGAAGAGAAGAGAAATAGAAGCTTTTTCAAAAGAAACTGACAGCCTTCGCGCTAAGCCCCCATTCCCTTAGCACCCCCCACCCCCCGACACAGCTACCCACCGGCTTCGATCTGGGTAGGTGCCGCCGCCATCCTTTTCCCGAGGGGGTTTGGGGGCTTCGCTCCGGAGGGGCTGGCGGGGGCGGGTGGGGGCGCTGCCTCTATTGTGGTGAAGCCCCCATGCCCGGGAGTCCCGCCGCTTCCGCCGCACTCCTCGTCCTAGTTTCGCTCTCTCTCGAATTCATCGCATCACGTTTCGACCCATAGATATTCTAGCCCAAGAGCTGAGGAGGCGGAGGAGGAAGGAGAGAGAGGAGAGGGAGAGGGAGAGGGAGAGAGTGAGTGAGAGAGACAGAGAGAGAGAAGAGAGAGGGAGAGAGTACAGAGAGAGAGAGAGAGAGAGAGAGAGAAAGAGAGAGAGAGAGAGAGACGCGGGGGGTGGGGGGGGCGGAGAGAGAGAGAGAAATAGACGGAGCGAGAGGGAGGGGGGGGGGGGGAAGGGGGGAAGGGGGGGGGGGGGGCAAAGGGGGTGGAGAGAGGGGAGGGTAAAAATGGTGATAGGGTTTTGCAGCGCTCATAGTTCCCCGCTAGAGGCACTAATACAGCAGCCGAGCCTAGACTCTCCGGGAGCCCGATGGTTGCTTAGCTACAGCTCTGGGAAAGAGGGGGAGGTGCTAACTGACGGCCGACGCTCTGGCAGCCGTCTTGGAACTCTGTGGTGGCATTCGCGTCTGCGAGCTCCGGAGTGACTTGCCCTTCCTGTGAAGGCAATCCGGCCCTTTCCGGTGGAGGACCCTTCCCCCTGGGTTGATCCTGAGGAACTTGAGAGAAGGTGTTTTGACTCGACTCCTTTCCCCTTTTTCCTCCCGGCACCAAAGCGGTTTTATTTGTTTGTTTACACTCTACCCCGTGGAAAGGCGGCTAGCTGGCTAAAGGGTTTTATGCCTGGGGGAGGATAAGAGTCGCTATTTGGTCGTGACTTGTTTCTGTTTAAAATTATTATTAGTAGTAGTAGTAGTAGTAACCAAATGAAAATGTTGTACTTACCAGTCAAAAATACGGGGCTTATATTGTTAGAAGACCACTTAAAATGCTCCCAGATTCTGACAAGTATTGCATGAGAAATTTGCAATCAACCGTAAAGCATGTTCCCCCTTCTGAAAGTTTAACACGTGCCGTATCTATCCCATTCCTACAGGGTAATTTCCTATTGTGTTTTCAAATACTACTGAAGTACTTTAACCAAGAGTTTTCAATAATCTTTCTGTATTTTTGCCTATCTCTATGCAAGGTTTCAATAGTTTTCTACAGGTTCGGGACTACACTGTTTAATATATAACCCCAACTCTTGGTACCGCACTGACCTTCAGTATTTGGTTGCTGAAATCTTCAGTGATCAAAGGGGTTGGTATGATAATTGACACAGATTAGTAAACTAGGTCCTTTCCTTCCCTACTTTCCCTTAACATCCTGTCCTCACCGCACTCCCTCACCTAAACCTGATGAGACTAGAAATGCATTTTAAGTTGCATGTATTATTTACACTGAAATATTCCAATTTGAAGGTTCATCTAAATTTAGGACTATATTCTTGGGAATTGGGTTGCCTCACTCAGAGCTCTGCCATTGACCACAGTGGGCCTTGAATTTCTAAGCTAACCAAACTTAGCCTAGGTTGATTAGCTCTCACTTGTAATTTTTTTTTTTTTTCCTCAGAAAGCAATAACCACAGGAGGTAATTGTGAAGTGATAGGCTTATCTTTGGTTGTTATTGCTATGCAACTTGACAAAACAAATACGAATAATTGATAAAACAAAATGATACAAAAAGATACATGAGACCCAGACAACTTATTGCAAGTAGTTTGGCAAAATACCGGACTGAATACTTTTATAGTTCAAGTATAATGTACAGGTTGAGTGTTCCTTATCCAAAGTGCTTGGGACCAGAAATACTTTGGATTTTGGACTTTTTCAGATTTTGGAATATTTGCATATACATAATGAGATATTTCAGCTATAGGACCCAAGTCTAAATGTGAATTTTATTTGTTTCATTTATACCTTATACACATAGACTGAAGATAATTTTATATAATATTTTCAATAACTTTGTGCATGAAACAAAGTCTTGACTGCCTTTTGACTGTGATCCTCCACTTGAGGTCAGATGTGGAATTTTCCATTTGTGTCATCATGTTGGCACTCAAAAATTTTGGATTTTGGAGCATTTTGAATTTTGGATTTTTATATTAGGGATGTTTGACCTGTATGTAACAGTTAACACTTAACAAGCCATTATCATCTCCTAAGCACTTTTACGTGCTTACCTCATTTAATCTTTACAATGACCCTAGGAGACAGGTTCGATTGTTATTCTCATTTTACAAATGATAAAAATGACTATGACTTTGGTTCACTCACAGCCTGTGAACCTCATTCCTCACCTGTAAAATGTGAATAATAAATAGTACTTGCCATGTCTACTTCAAGGAATTGTTATAAAATTCATGTGAAAATATATTTGTGTACTCTTTCAAAATTTATGTGGCGATTCCATGATCGCCTGTGTATCAGTCTGAGTTCATTCAGGAGGGAAAAAGCCCATGATCATTTGAATAAGGGAAGTTTAGGATAAATAATTATTAATGATAACAGGAAATTGGAATGATGAGGGCTTAGCTAGCAAGAAGTAAAGAGAAGTAAAGAAGTAAAGAGAACTCTAAATACCATAGATATAGCAAGTATATAATAGTAGATATGATAGCCACTACCCCTGGAACTGAGATGAAGCACCCTCCACGCTTACTCTCTGCCCTTAGCTGAGATCCAGACCTTCTTGGAGAGAACATAGCCAGTGGAGACTCACTCTACGGCCAGAAGATTCTGTATTTCCTTACAGGCAGAACTTGCTGAAACGCCAACCTCTGGAAATTACTGGAACTCTGCATTCTAGAACTTGCTGGAAACCCACCCTCTGCAATTAGCCTACTAGAGTGCCTGAGAAGGATGTTCATAGGGAAGTATTTCAGCAGAGGAACTTTACTACAAAAACTGCAAGAGGGAGGGTGCCACGGGAAGCTGCCTGATGCTGCCAAAACTGCAGCACAGAAGCCAGCCACTGCAGAGAGCTGCACAAGCTGCAGGAACACCCTACCCAGTAAGCCGGCCAGAAGCAGGGAGCAAAAGCTTTTCTTTCTGCACCATCTTTCCAGTTTCCTCTACTGGAAAAGCTTCAGTGCCAGCTGACAAAAGGAAAAATACTTAAATGGCTCAGATCCATTTTCACAGAGCAGTCAATAATGGTGAATTTGGAGATGATAAGCAACAAATTGATGAACTGGCACAACTTCCCTGCTACTTTCTTGATTGTAATGCCTAGATAGGGAATAGGAAAGTTATTGAAATGTATGTGTTCCCATGAAATGTGTTTGTTTGTTGTTCAAGATCAATACTAATAAATGAGGACTAATGTTTGAAGTATTTTGTAACAATAGAATCACTGCTCTAAACCCTGTGGCCAAAGTCTTACATGGACAGGGAGGAAAGTTTTTATAAACTGAAGCAAAAATTGATTTACGTAGAAGATAAATCTGGAATGTTTACTTGGTAGGTATACTAGTTTTCTAGGGCTGCCATAACAAGTTATTACAATCTGGGTGGCTTAAAACAACAGAAATTTGTTTTCTCACAGTTCTGGAGGCCAGAAGTCCAAAATCAAGGTGTTTGCCAAGACCATGCTCTAGGGGAGAATCCTTTGCTTCTTCCAGCTTCTGGTGGCTCCTGGCATTCCTTGGTTTGTGAGTGCATAATTCTAATGTCCTCTTCCGCCTTCATAAGGCCTTGTTTCATATGACATATCAAATCTTCCTCTCCCTTTTCTTATAAGTCATTGGATTTCAGGCTCACCCTTAATCCGGGATGATCTCATCTCCAGAACCCTAACTTAATTACACCCACAAAGACCCTATTTCTAAGTAAGATCATATTCACAATTACTGGGGTTAGGACATGGACATCTTTTGGGAGGACACAATTCAATCCACCAACACATTTTTATTTTACTTTGGTCTTTAAAAAGCATATTTTAAGCCGGGTTCAGTGGCTCATGCCTGTAATCCCAGCACTTTGGGAGGCCAAGGCGAGCAGATCACTTGAGGCCAGGAGTTCACGACCAGCCTCGTCAACATAGCAAAACCCCGTCTCTACTAAAAATACAAAACTTAGCTGGATATGGTAGTGCACTCCTGTAATCCCAGCTACTCAGGAGGCTGAGGCATGAGAATCAAGAATTGCTTAAACCCAGGAGGCAGAGGTTGCAGTAAGCCAAGATTGCACCACTACACTCCAGCCTGGGCAACAGAGTGAGACTCTATCTCAAATTAAAAAAAGAAAAAAATCACATTCTAATGGAATATAAATGTTAAAAACTTAATGGTTCTCCCTAGGAAGACAGGAGAAAAGAAAAATGGTAGGAAATACTGAGATGGAAGAACAGATGTGTTAAATCAATAAGATTAATATAACTGTAAGTAAATAGTTGCTTCCTTTTATTATCTCAGCTTTTTAAAAAAATTATATAGAGTAATAATTAAAATAATGTATTATGTTTAATATGTTACATGCATCATAATATATTAACATATTTTAACATATTGCATGGATGTAATATGAATAATAATGGAAAAAAGAGACAAGAGGGAATAGAGCTATAAAAGAGTAGCATTTGTATACCTCAAAAGAGATAATAGAAACATGAAATATAAGGCTGGGCATGGTGCCTCATACCTGTAATCCCAGTGCTTTGGGAGGTCAAGGTGGGAGGATCACTTGAGGCTAGAAGTTTGAGACCAGCCTAAGCAACATAGTGAGAACCCTGTCTCTGCAAAGAAAAACAAAAAATAGTGAGGTGTGGTGGCATACGCCAGTAGGTTCAGCTACTCAGGAGGCTAAGGTGGGAAGATCACTTGAGCCCAGGATTTTGAGGTTGCAGTGAGCTGTGATTGCACCACTGCACTCACCTCTAGGAAAAAGAGCAAGACCTTGTCTCTAAAAAAAATTAAATTAAATTTTAAAAAATGAAGTATATTCTGATTAGCTAAGAAGCATATGGCAAACCATCGCGCAACCACTAAGAAAATTTTTAAAATATAGTGGAAAAAATCAAAAATTTTTTTTTTTTTTTTTTGAGACGGAGTCTCGCTCTGTCGCCCAGGCTGGAGTGCAGTGGCGTGATCTCGGCTCACTGCAAACTCCGCCTCCCGGGTTCACGCCATTCTCCTGCCTCAGCCTCCCGAGTAGCTGGGATTACAGGCGCCCGCCAACTCACCCGGCTAGTTTTTTGTATTTTTAGTAGAGACGGGGTTTTGCCGTTTTAGCCAGGATGGTCTCGATCTCCTGACCTCGTGATCCACCCGTCTCGGCCTCCCAAAGTGCTGGGATTACAGGCTTGAGCCACCGCGCCCGGCCAAAAATTTTACTAGGAAATATTTACTTAGTACCAAAGAAAGCAGGAAAGGAGGAATAGAACAAAAAAGACATGAGATATCAAAAACAAACTAATATAGTATAATTCCACCTACATCTATACTAACATTACATGTAAATTGATACATGCCACTTCTGTCATGCAGCCTGAGGAACTTTGTGAACCAGCTCATAGTGAAACTGGTGAAAATTATATAAACAATCATCTAAAGTCTCAAGAAATGTTTCTAATGACATTAAACAAATGAAAAATCATTTATTCAAGAAAAAGCTGCCAAAATTTTAAGAACAGTGAAAGTTTGTGGTAAATGAACCAAAACCCACTCTTCCAACCTTGCCTCCCAGCCCAGTGAAGAGGGGAGCTCTACTCTAGACTGAAATATCCAAAAATACAAGACTCCTTATTCCTCCTAGATCTCAGTTAGAGGGCTATCTTCCTAGGAGGAGCAGGACATCACCATTTCTCATGCTTCCCCCAATTACCTGTTGCTGAGGCTAAGTTCTGGTTTGGTATGGCCAAGAGGTGGTGGCTCCTTTTTTCCACCCTGCCCCTAACCATAGGACAAAGATAAATCTTGAGCATTGGTGGTACTGAGCATACTAGGGCATCAATCTCCCTGGCCCTGGATTAAGGAGCAGTAGATGTATTCTAAGAGAGGCAAGCTAAAGAGATTTAGGGCTATTGTCTTCTTCCTCCACCAAGCACTGGTATTCTCAAGCAGAGATATCAGAGAGAATTGTGCCATTGTTCCAGTCTCCAGGACCAGAACTTCGGCTCAGAGATTCTGCCCTAAGGGAAAGGTAGGCCTTAAAAGAAAGAGCTCTGAATCTCTCCCTAAAATAACTGACTTTATTTGCAACTGGGTGTGGAAAAATTCAAGCCTAAGGGTGCTGTCAAGAACAAAGAAGGGGGAGAAAACTGATAAATTTATTAAAATTATAGGCTAAACTGTAGGCCAGCCAGTTTACTGGAGAGAAGACAGAGGGGAAAGGCAGCAAAAAAGAGTCCTCCAAGAGTCAGAGCAAGTCCTAAACACTAACCTAAGAAAATATTCCTACTAAGGTGCCCAAATTTGATTGGATCAGTCTGTGAAGCAGTTTATGCCCCAGGGTGTTGTCGAAAACAAAACAGCAATCAGCAGCTAATTAGAGTGATATAAGAGCTGGCTGTGATCGGGGAAAGAGGCAGTTAAAGGGAGCCCTGCCAAAATCAGTGTTATCCCAGGGTAATTATGTGCCTACCCAAGACTGTACCCCCTGACCAACAACATCAGCAGTTTCACACAATGAGGTTAATAAGCACACAAAAATAATAAGACCTGCAGTGGGAAGAACAAATACCCAGGGTTGCTACAATATGTTATCTAAAATATCTAGTTTCTAACAAAAAACTTTGAGGCATGCAAATAAACAGGAAAGTATAAACTGTACACTACCAAAAGAGCAGGCAACAGAAACTGCCTATGAAAATTACCAGATGTCAGATTTAGTAGACAAAGTCTTCAAAGTAACCATGATAAATATATTTGAAGGACTAAAGGAAACTAGTATTAAAGAAATGAAAGAAGGTGTGATGTTAATGTCAAATCAAACAGAGAATATAAATAAAAAGAGGAAATATTTTTAAAAATGAAATAGAGATCCTGGGGTTCAAAAGAACAATAATTGAAATGAAAAACTCACTAGAGGGAACAAGAGTCCATTTGAACTGGGAGAATAAAGAATTAACAAACTTGATTACAGATTAATAGAGCATATTAACTCTAAAGAGCAGAGAAAACAAGAATGAAGGAAAATGAAGAGGGCCTCAGAGAATTATGGGACATTATATGCACCAACATATGTGTAAGGGGACTATTAGAAGGAAAGAAAGAGAAGGAAGCAGAAAAAAATAATGAAATAATGGCTAAAAACTTCCCAATTTCTTGAAAAGCATTAATCAACACATGCAGAAAGCTCCATGAACTGCAAGTAAGATAAATGCAGAGATCCACAAGCTGACATATTATAATAAAAATGCTAGAAGACAAAGAGAAAATCTTGAAAGCAGCAAGAGAAAAATGACTCATCACTTAGAAATTTACAAAGGAAGATTAAAAGCTGACTTCTCACCAGAAACAATGGAGGCCAGAAGGCAGTGTGATAACATACTCAATGTGCCCAGTGAAAACATTCATTAAACAAAAATCATATATTCAGCAAAGCTAACTTTAACATTGAAGATGAAATAAAACTTTTCCACATGGGCCGGGCGCGGTGGCTCAAGCCTGTAATCCCAGCACTTTGGGAGGCCGAGACGGGCGGATCACGAGGTCAGGAGATCGAGACCATCCTGGCTAACATGGTGAAACCCCGTCTCTACTAAAAATACAAAAAAATAAGCCGGGCGAGGTGGCGGGCGCCTGTAGTCCCAGCTGCTCGGGAGGCTGAGGCAGGAGAATTGCGCGAACCCGGGAGGCGGAGCTTGCAGTGAGCAGAGAGCGGGCCACTGCACTCCAGCCTGGGTGACAGAGCGAGACTCCGTCTCAAAAAAAAAAAACTTTTCCACATAAAGTGAGAAAGTTTGTTTCTAGCAGACCTACATTACAAGAAATACCAAAGAGAGTTGTTTATGCTGAAAGCAACTGAATCCAGAAAGTAATTCAAATCCACACGAAAAACAAAGAGCAATGGTAAAGATAGTTATGTAATTATAAAAGGGAATATGAATGCGTATTTATTCTTTCTTAAATTATTTAGAAAACAGTTTTATAAAACAATGTGTATGTAATGCATGGTTCAGCCTATAACATATAGAAATATTATGTATCTGTCAATAACAGCAAAAAGAAGATGGATTGGAACAAAGCCGTATTGGGATATGGAAGTAATTCCAGATGGCACCTTAAAGCCACAGGAACAGATGCAGAGAACAAGAAATTATAAATAGGATTAATATAACAAGGCCAGTGTGGTGGCTCATGCCTGTAATCCCAACACTTTGGGAGGCCAAG